GGGGTTCCATGTCCATTTGTGGGCGAGTCAGTCGGCTTCAGAGGTTGAGATTTTGGGCTTGGGTTTTGGATTCTTACAGGGTCTCCCCGGTGGTGCCTGTCATATCCCTCCTGCACTGCTTCTAAGACATCATAAAGCAATCCATGGGGTGCCAAAACCCAAGGGCCTGAAGTTTCCATGTTCGCTTCAAACCCTCATATTCCCCTGTAGAATCCGTAGAGACGGATCAAGACTCCCTCCAAAAACTCCCGAAAAAACTCCCTGAAGACCTTCGACCCTCGCCCAAACCTAACGTAGAACCTCTAAAAGGGCCCGCTAAAGGGATGTCTGAGTTTGTATGCTAGTTGGGAAATGATTCCCACACCCGAAACTCTTGAAGTCAAAACCCTGAAACGAACGCAAATGGCTCAATATGATAAATATTTGTTATCTTTCTATGTGTGTGTTTCTGTAACTCCCCTAAACCCTTTCAATCCCAAAGGGAACCCTCTTCCCCAGCGCCCCTAAACCCTGAACCCGATAAAACCCTGAACCCTAAACCCTAAGCCCTAAACCCTAAACCCCAAACCCTAAGCCTAAACCCTATACCCTAATATGAACCCCATAGAACCCCACCCCAAACCCCAAACCCTCATCCTTTTGCTTAGGTCAAGGCATGGATTGCTGTGCCCGGCTATGCCAAGCCGCTAGCGCCTCGGGGATCTACATCAGAAGCGTTAGGGTTCAGGATTTAGGGTTTAGGGTTTAGGGTTTAGGGTTAAGGGTTTAGAGTTTAGGGTTTAGGGTTCAGGGGCTTGAGGGGCTTGATGAAACCCGATACGTGGGGAGCCTTTTTTTCCATGATGTGACCCCTTCTGGACTTGCTGTGAGGCAACACTACCCTGACATGGTTTAGGGTTTAGGGTTTAGGGTTCATAGTCTAAACTCCTAGCATCCCCCTTAAGAACCCCTATAGTAGTTCCCTACATAATCCCATATAACCCCCCCCCCCTGTTCAGGAGTTTAGAGACTACAGTTCACATAGGTTTCAGGCCGGTATGTAAAGTTAATCCAGGTTCCAGTATGATATAGTATAATATACCATACTATAATATAATATACTATAATATAATATACTATAATATAGTATAATATGATATAATAGATTACATGTAATATAATATAATATAATGTATCATAATATACTATAATATATAATATAATAGAATATTATATACTATAATATAATATAATATAATATGATGGAACACCCAAAACCCAGAGGTCAATCCTGAGCTCGAGACTAGGGAGGCCATAGCAGCTTGCCTCCATCTCTCCTGTGGCATACAGATGCTGAGGGCTTAGGGTTTAAGGGGTTTGGGGTGGGGTTCTATGGGGTTCATATTAGGGTATAGGGTATAGGGTTTAGGGTTTAGGGCTTAGGGTTTAGGGTTCAGCGTTCGGAGTGTAGAGCTTGCGGTTAAAGAGCTTGACGTTGAGGGCTTCTACCACGAGATAGTCGAATATTCCGAATTTGACACTCCTTTCCATGAACCAGGTCCTGAGGTTTGACCTCCTGGGTTCCTTGTATAATATCATTGCTTATCTGGGAGTTTCCTAAGATTAGGGGTACGTGTTTTGGGCCCCCATACTAAGGATTATAGTATATTGGGGTCTA